AAAAACACTGTGGATGGCGTAGCCGGAGTTATATGCACAAAAAATATTGTATATCCTTTAAAATAGAAGCGGAGGCCTTATTCTTTCTGAAAATTCCTTTGCCTAAATATGTCCCCATTCTCCAGCTCGACCAACCGCGCAAGTTGCCTTTTGTTGCTTACAATTTTGTATCTGTAATTCAGGCACATACATACTGTGCATAAATATATATATTATACACTCTAAAAAAATTTTGTTTAAATTTGCGCATATTAGGATAGGTAACCGGTTTCCTCTCTTAATGAATGCAAATTTAAACACTGCTTGCTTACTTTTACTTATCATATGTGTGGCGTAGAACAAATTTCAAATTTGTTTTTTGAGTTTTAAACATTTATTGTTCACATTTTCACAGTTTACACATAAAATGTTTAAAATTTCCTCTAAAAAATTTTCGTTTAAATTTACGCATATAAAGAGAGGTAACCAGTTTCCTCTCCTAGTGTGTGCAAAATTAAACAATGTCTGTTTGCTTTTACATATCAAATTTGTCACGTAGCGCACACAAGGGGTGGGTTTTGGGGCTAAATTTATTATGATATAAGAAATTTTGAAAGAAAAAATTTTCTTTTCCATTTCTTGTGCGTCATTTTGTAAGAATTTTTGTTTTTCTCTTGAGAGCTCTTTAAAGTTTAACTTCGAATGAAAACATTGTCCTAAAAATATGCAATGCATACTCACTTAGGGCCGTTTGCACCATGTCTAGTTAACGCTAACTGGAGGTACATCCTTCAGTTAAGCACGTTAACTGCTTTATCGATCATGGGTGTCGATAACGTCGATAAAGATGTTTAACAAAAAAGTTTACCACTGATATGTACTTAATAAGCATTCGAAGATTTAATTTGCTAACTTCGAATTCGTTCCACCAAAATGAGCTACATGATAAAAATACAAGTTCAGTTAAATTTTCGTTATTCGAATTATTAAAAAATGAGAAACCAGAAATCGACTTAATAAAAAAGTGTAAAAATTTCGTGAAATTATTTAATTTATTGATATTAAAATTCTTTTGTAAAATTTTGTATTACTTTTGAAAGTTGAGTGCATCTTTACCCGTAATTTTTTCATGATTAAATGATCGGATCTAAGCCAAATTACGGGACGACCCTTAAGGAACCATCCTTACGGTAAAAAAAAAAATAATTATTGGAATCGGTTCACGCGGTGCAAAGTTATGCGGTGGAATAAATAAAAGAAGTAAAAATACTCCGAAGAATTGATAACCTCCCCTTTTTTGAAGCCGGTTAAAAATGTCTGAGTCTTTGTAAATTTTATGTAAATAAAATGCAATTGATGATACTTTAAAAAGTTTATTTATTTATTTTATACTGTAAATAAAACTTTCATAAATGTATTTGAAATAGCGAATTTTCAGTATTTGCTGATGATATATGTTTAGAAGTATAAACCCTTTCCCCCCAAAAATATATTCCTGCGTGCGCCCCTGGCATTTAGTATTTATTATTTGTAAAAAATATATTTTTACTTTCAAAATGTTTGTAATTTTAAACATTTCATGTGTATATTTTAAACAACTCATGTTCAAAATCAAATCTTGAACATCTTGTGCGTATACTTGAACAGATTCTGGTTGAAAAATAAACACTTTTCAGTAGTAATTTTACATGCACTTTTTAGAGTGTACCACTGCAGACCTAACATAAGCTCTCTACTCTTATATGCTCAAGTCATACTCTCATGTTAACATTAACATGAACTTTATACATATACTTACATAGCGAGCTATGTACTTATGTATACCGTTTACACTATATTAAATAGTATTTAAATACCTATGTTAAATATATATAAGATACAGTAATAAAGAGAACGTACAAGACACAACATGGTGTCAGGTGACATAGCCTTTAGTCACAGTTAAAAAACAAAAATAATAATAAATAAATGACGTGAAACGATAGTGCCAAGTCAGGCATAGCTACGGTGACCATCCGTCCTTTATTTTAAAGGACATTCCTTTATTTTAACCCCCTGTCCTTTATAATTTTTTTCAAAATAAAGGACGCCTTTTGTCTTTATTTCTTAAACTGTCCTTTAAATATGTTCTGCATTTTTCAGAGGTAAATTTTTAAACACAGAATATGAAAAATAAAAATGTTCCTTATAAAATAAAATGAACACCTTCGCCAAGAGGTAAGCTCCGTATGGAGATTGGTTGACCACCCGTATGCGTAACTGTGGGCGTCGTGTTCCTCCAATTATACATACGGAGAGGACCGTACCGACGATTCCCACACGCTCGTCCTACCCAACCCTTCCCTCCCATCTTTCCCTATCCTTTCCCCCCTAATACAGGGTGTTATGCGTCACCGTGCCTATTGGATGGTTTGCAGCCAGGGGTATCCGGCTGCATTCTAACGGCGCTCTCCTGATACCGGATCACCTCAGGAGGTAGAATGACCTTGCCACGGCGGAGGGGACCGCTGTGGTCGATGTCTCCCTTCTTCCCCCCCCCCCCCCCCCCCCCCCCCCCTAAATACGTAGTCCGCCACGCTCGCCACGTCAGGCAGTGCGGACGTTTATGAAAAAATGAACCACAACAAAAAACCCGCCTCGGATAACCGAGAACCCCCCAAAAAAAGCAGACCCACCCAGTCAGAAAGGTCCGGTCTGTCCTCGAACAAGACCAAGCAAGCCAGCGGTGCAAAGCCTGTGGCCAAGCAAGGGCTGAGCATACGCTCCGTCCCCTCTGGGACTGCCTCAACGGCAACGAGGCCCCCTTGGGCAACCGGTCTAGCCATGTCCCTAGACAAGCTAGCGAGGATGTAAATCCGTCCGGTGCTGATAGCAGACCCACCCTCGCAGATAGGTCTTCGGGAGGCAAGGGCAGCCCTGTCGGAACACAAGTTAGCCCTGCTGCCGTCCCCGCCACTCCAGGAGACAAGGGAACATCGACAGGTGCAATCCCTAAAGCGGCGTCGGCGACATCAGACCGCATGGCTAAGCCAGCGGCCTCTGAGGTGCGCCATTCTGGCACTAATGTAGCGATGGGCAGTAGCCGTCCCCAGAAGCACATTAGTACATCAGAAAGGTACTATCGTACCAGACGGTCATCCCTCAGAATCCTGGAGAGACTGAGGGACAAGAAGCTAGAAGAACTGACCGCAGAAGAGCTGGACTCAAGAAAATGGGCCGAAAAGTTTATGGCTGAACACCAGGCGAAAGCCAAACAAGATTCTGCTCAAGGCAAGCGGAAGTCCTCAAGGGAGCTAAGCTCGGAACCCAAGAGAACAAGGGTATCCGCCATTTTAACAGCCGACAAGCTGCAGAAAAGATCCTTCGCGGACGCGGCGAAGGACACATTTACTAGGGCTGTGACAGACCCCAGCTCACTTCATGGTGCAATATCACCACAGAACTGGGACCTGGCCAACAGGCGACTCTTGGCCGTCTATAAGGAGGTTCTAGGGGAAAACCCAGGACCACCCCCCAGTTGTGCGGACGCCGGTTGGTTCCAAAACCGCGTCAAACTGACAAGGTGCGCAGACCAGAGATCCGTCGACCTATACACCCTGGCCATCAGTCGCGTAGGCGAGGTCTGGCCGGGTGCACGCCTTGAGGTGATAAAGCGGGAAGACATTCCCAATCGGCCCAGATCCAGGGCCTGTATTCCACACTTCCACACGAACCCACAGGAAGTGCTTTAATGGATACGCATGGGCAACCCCGAGCTACCCACCCACGACTGGAAGGTAGCAAAGATATTCGATATCGATGGAAAGCGAAGGTTAGCGGTAATAGTCCTCAACGAGGAATCAGTAGAACCGCTAGCCAACCAAAACTGGAGGATAAATTATGGCTTCCAAGCCTTGAACCTCCACGTTTATCGGCAGGACGTGTCAGGGAAACAACACCCTACCGACGAAGCGAACGCAGCGGAAAGTGCTACTGACGACGAAGTGGCATCCACCTCCGGAATGGTAGGCGAACTCTTCGAGGGGGTGACTCTAGAAGAGGGGGCGGGGGACCACTCCTACATTTCCGACACCATGGTGGACGAAGAGGACGTCAACCAGACTGTGGTTGGCTGTCCAGCAGCAGCACGCGAAACTGATGGTGGGGATAGTTCAGATTAATCTCCACCACTGCAAGGCGGCCTCAGCCGCACTTCTCCTCCGTCTCGCCGAAAGAGAAGAGGAGATCGCACTCATCCAGGAGCTTTGGGTCATAAAAGATCGGGTTTGTGGATTTAATATGAAAGGATATAAGCTGTTCTATGTAACTGACAAAGGTAAACCCAGGTCGTGCATATTGATAAAAAAGTGTATTAATGCATTTCTCTTGATACAGTTTAGCGATGCGGACAACTTCATCATAGCAGTGGAATCAGGCGGAGGGTCTATTTGGCTGGCTTCCACATACATGGCCCACAGCAGACACACTACCTCCACCAGCTTTCTTAACCTCCTCAGCGTTGGTCGTCTTGCCGTGGCGAGGGGGCTTAAATGGTGTCATGGTATAACTCACAGTGTGAATTGTATCATGCCTCCATGAACTAAGAGGGAAGCCTGGTATTGAAGCCTTCGGCAATATTCCTTAACAATCCAAGCTGGAGTGTTGTTTTTATTGCTGAAGGTGGAAATGGCAGGATTACCGTACCAACACTACCCAAGCCAAGGTGTGTAGGCAACCGTGCCGATGGATGAATGGCCAGCGGGTAGTAAAAAAATGGCTGGTCGCGTACGGTCCCCTCCGATGCCCGGGCAAGGTCGGTTGTAAGAAGTGCCTTCTCTATGCATGCCGGCTCTGCGGACGAGTGACTAACCCTTTCCGGACTACTCGTGGGACCACATATGGAACAAAAACAAACAAAAACAAACAAACAACAACAACAAACAAACCAACAACAGCAACAGGAACAGCGTACCAGCGAAGAAGGGGACGACGTAACGCTGTCAGAGGAGGAGCAGCTCCTCAAATCCCCAAGGTCAGGTAAGATGGCTGCAAGTACTCCTGGTGGCGCCAGCCATAGTACCCCAGTTGTACAAGCGCCAGAAACCAGCAGGGTGGAAGATGCCAGACAAAGTATCACCACTCTGCAAATAGTTAAAAATAGCACCGGTAGTGCCTGCCGTAGTACTCCGGACGAGCAGCCAACAACCAGCAAATCGGCGGCCGTTACAGGCAGCAACCCCGCCTCTAAGAAAAGAAAACCCTCGGGCGTGGTCATGAGACAGATGTACCAGAAGGCGCTGTATATGTTAAATAAAATTGACAAAAATGCAGCGGCCGGTACGGTGCATGAGCGTGACGAGGAAGACAAGGCAAAATACAGGCAAATAGTGGAAGAGTACGAAAAGCTACAGGCAGATCGTGCAGCCACAATCGAGGCCACCGAAGCGAAGAAGCGGAATCGCTCTCATAACGAAGGCGGCCAAGGGGCCATCGCAAAGAAGGCTAAGCAAGGTGGTGTTGCGGAGTCCGCAGCACCCGCGAAGCATCGCTATTTTAGTGACGTCGCCAGAGATCATCTACAGGCGGCGATAATAGATGAAAATAGCAAGACACCGCTAGCAGTGCAGCAAAAATGGGTGGAGATTGATGTGAGGCTGTCGAGCCTCGTAATGAACCACGTACTCGACAACCCCGAAGGTCCTCACCCAGAGTTCGACTCGTCGGAATCCCTACGGGGATACCGGGTAGTCAAGTGCGCGAACCAGTTCTCCCTGGATTTCCTTGCTGGATGCGTCGCTAAGATCAGCGACACTTTTGTCGGCTTGAAGCTCAAGCTGATCCCAGCTAAGGACATTCCAAGGAGACCACGTGCGCGCATTTGGCTGCCTCCGATGGATGAACCAGGCGAAAAGTTGCTGCGGTGTCTTAAGCTACATAACAAAGACATACCGGCGATCGAGGAATGGGAACTTATAAAAGTTGAAAAGCCAAGAAGGCCTACAAATAAGCCCATTCTACTAGCTATTTGTGCAGAGTCACTAGACGCCTTAGAGAAGGCTGACTATCGGCTCTGCTTCGGTATCCGTAAGGCTAGAGTGCGGGTATTCCTCGGAGAGGTTAGCCCGGTAGAAGAAGATCCCGGGGTTGATGGAGCAGGTGAGCTTCTCATGGGTGTGAAGCTGACAGATGACCCAGAACCGGAAACTTAAAGTAGGCCAAATAAATCTGCAGCACTCCAAATGTGCTACAGATAATCTAGTTGTCCTTCTCAGTGAGGAGGATATAGACATTAGCCTAATTCAAGAGCCCTGGGTCAAGCACGATACAATCATGGGACTAAATATAAACAATTATAAACTCTACTATAAGAGCGAGGTGGGTAAACCGCGGGCGTGTATTCTTATCAAGAACGGTATAAATGCATTCCTTTGCTCTAATTTCAGCACATCAGATACAACAATGGTTAAGGTAGAGACCACCGGACAGCCAAGTATACTCCTGGTCTCATCATACATGGCCCACGATAGGGACAGTCCGCCAACCGAAATCCAGGAGATAATAGCCAAAAACCCCAGACAGATTATAGTCGTCGGCTGCGATGCGAATGCAAGGCATCCAGTTTGGGGTAGTTCTACGGAGAACGACCGAGGTGAGTCTTTACTACACTTCTTATTAAATACTAACTTAAGCATCTGCAATAGAGGTAATACACCCACATTCATATTCCCGAGTTCAAACCGGTTTCCTGGATGGGAGGAGGTGCTGGATCTGACCCTGTTGTCAGAGAACGACAGCGTGTCTGTAGAAGAGTGGAGAGTATCTGATAGGCCTTCAATGTCTGATCACCGTCTGATCCTCTTTAATCTGCACGGAATTTCCAGCACCCCCTCAAAATACAGAAACCCCCACAGGACTAATTGGGAAAGATATAGTAACACAATTAAGCATAAACTAAGTAAGCTCCCACTAAATACAACTGTCACTACAGTTGAGGACCTTGATAATAGAGTAAATAAACTGGAAGAGGTTATGAAGAAAGCCTTTGAAAGATCAACTCCAGTTAGTACAGCAAGAAAGAAATCCCCACCCTGGTGGAATGGGGATCTCAGAGCCCAAAGAGACAAATTAAGGAAAATCTACAATGATTGCTTTAGAACTAAAAACTGGGCGCCTTATAAAAGCGCCCTCAGATCTTATAAAAAGGAGTTGAGAAAATCTAAAACTAAATCCTGGCAATCTTACTGCTCTTCTATAGAGAACTCTAAAGACTCAGCCAGGCTCAGCAAAATCCTATCAAAAGAACACACAAATATCACACTCATTAAGGGAGAAAACGGGGTGTGGACGAACACAGCTAGTGATTCTCTAAACACGTTAGTCAAGTTCCATTTCCCAGGATGTATTCGACATCCACCCACATCAGGGTCAATTGAACCTGGTTCAACTAGCAGTATACTGTTGAACTCGATCGTGAGCAGGGAAAAGATTATTTACGCTATTAACAGCTTCTCTCCCTTCAAATCCCCTGGACCAGATGGCGTAATCCCAGCAATGCTCCAGAGGGTGAAGGGAGAGATAGCACCGTTACTCGTGACTATTTTTAAGGCTACCATTACCTTGTGCTACATTCCTAAAAGCTGGAGAAGGGTAAAAGTCGTGTTCATACCCAAGCCAGGAAGGAAAAACCACGAAACAGCAAAAGATTTTAGACCCCTAAGCCTTACCTCCTTTGTGCTTAAAACAATGGAAAGGCTTCTCGACATTTATATACGATCGCTGTTAGGTGAAGCGACACTCTCAACAGCACAACATGCATACATCAAAGGCAGATCCACTGAATCTGCTTTGCATGAAGTGGTGAGCTTAATAGAAAGATCGTTGCACTTTAAACAATATACTCTGGCGGCATTTCTTGACATCGAGGGCGCATTTAATAACATTGAGGTTGACACCATCATAGAATCTTTGATAGATATTGGTGTTGACGACAGTGTTTGTAGATGGATACGATCGATGCTAGTCAATAGAATCATTCAGGCAACAAATGGGGCTAACTCTATTACACATCATGTGAACAGGGGCACTCCACAGGGCGGAGTGCTCTCACCACTGCTATGGGTGATAGCCCTGAACGGTATATTGCTAGAACTCAATAGAGGGGGAGTCAAAGTTGTGGCGTATGCGGATGATGTTGTAATAGCAGCCACAGGTCCATTCCTCTCTACCGTTAGCGAAATCCTTGAAGGAACCCTGGGAAGACTACACGCCTGGGCTACGAGAAGCGGCCTAAATGTGAACCCAGCGAAGACAGAACTTATCCTATTTACAAACAGACACAAACTACCACAATTCAAGCTACCATCGCTGGACGGCAATGCGCTCTCATTGTCCCCCAGCGCAAAGTATCTTGGAGTCGTGCTCGATAACAAACTTAACTGGAAAACCAATATCGAATTCCGTAGACAGAAGGCCTACATAGCATACTACACTTGCAAGAGAATCTTCAGTAGAAACTGGGGACTAAATCCTAAACTTGTGATGTGGATGTATACCGCGATCATAAGACCAATTCTAACATACGGCGCCTTGGTTTGGTGGCCCGGCCTAAGCAGACAATATAATGTCAGCAAGCTAAGAAGCATACAAAGGGCAGCAAGCGCAGGAGTAACAGGCGCACTAAGATCCTGCCCGGCAGAAGCTTTAAACGCCATCCTCAATTTAATTCCTATTGATCTCCACCTGAAAGAAGTGGCTATGAAATCGGCGGTCAGACTCAGAGAGTCGGGCCTTTGGAGGACTAGACACTTCGGACATGGGTTGATCATAAATCAAATGCAACTAAATAGGACGACAGATTATATGGTAGGCAATTTGGACTTCAGCTGTAACGCGCAAGTGCTATTCCCATCCAGAAGGGACTGGAGAAGAGACCGAGTGGCCGACCGAGAAGAGATCTCTCTATACACCGATGGATCCAAGATGGATTGCGGTGTGGGAGCAGGTGTCTACTCCAAGGAACTAGGCGTGGCTCTGTCTCTGCGGTTGGGAAATAATACAAGCATCTTCCAAGCGGAAGTCCTAGGGATCCTAGAAGCCTGCAAAATCCTAGGCAATAGGGTTGGACACAGCAGTAAAGCAACAATATATTCTGACAGCCAGGCGGCGCTATTGGCAATAGCGTCACCGGTTACCAAATCCAAACTAGTTGGGGAATGCAAAGTAATATTGCGCTCAGTGTCTCAGTCAAATACCGTCTCTCTTGTCTGGGTTCCCGGACATAGGAACATAGAAGGCAATGAGAAGGCGGATGAGTTGGCGAAGGCAGGAGCCGGTTTGGATGAATCCCAGGCAGTGGCACTGGGTTGCCCTCTTGGAGTAGTCCAAAGAGAGATTACTACGCATTTCCTTGAACTGGCTAGACGCAGGTGGTCAGATATACAGACTTGTAGGATAGCGAGAAAACTATGGCCTGACTATAACAGGGCGAAAACCTTAGACCTGCTTAGCAGATCAAGGCCAGAGGTATTCAGAATTTTAGCAACCATCACAGGCCACTGGCCCATAGGCAAACATGCGGCAAAAATAGGTCTACCCCATAATATGATTTGCCGCAGCTGTCAACTAGAAGATAGCGAAGAAAGTGTCCAGCATTTCCTGTGTGAATGTCCAGGCCTTTCGAACATTAGACACAAGACGTTAGGGAAACATCTAATAGCTGAACTAACCGACCTATCAGGAGCTACCATTAGCGAAATCGGCAGATTCATTAGAGAGTCGAAATGGTTCGACCTAGCAACATAGACACATAGCACAGACAAGATATTTATCCCCCGCGAGAAGTGCATCAAAATGGCGCAATAATGCGCTAATTGTATCCTGGGCAGCGACTAGGAAGCACTGCAACCAACCAACCAACCTCCACCACAATTCTTAATGAGCGCGATAATGGAGGCTTCTAGACGCGGCACTCCGATGGTCATAGGAGCAGACGCGAATGCCCATCATCACATATGGGGCAGCTCAGATACAATAAACGCGGTGAGTCGATATTCGAGTTCATTATGTACAATAACTTACAGGTTAGCAACGTAGGTGATACCCCTACCTTTGTGACGTCTGTTAGAAGGGAGGTCCTTGACATTACATGTGTCAATGAGCAGGTGGCAGAACTTTTGAATGACTGGACAGTCTCAAAAGACAACTCCTTTTCAGATCACATGTACGTCGTTTACAACCTATATGTACCAGTAAGAAAACAACAAGCGGTCTTAAACCGCAGAAAAACAAATTGGAAAAAATTTTAAACAATCTTTTCTAATAATATTTCCGACCTCACAAATCAAATCAACTCGGAACATCAACTTGATAACGTCGTAGACGATATAACTAAAGCATTTCATCGTGCAGCAAAATTAGCCTGCCCAATCAGGGCAACAAGTAGGAAACCAAAACCTCCATGGTGGTCCACTGAAATTGCAACCCTCACAAGGAAATGCAGATCAAAATTTAATGAAGCTAAGAGATCCAACTCTTGGAGTGAATTTAAAGACTGGCAACGCCGATTTAAGTATGCAATAAGAGACGCTAAACGCTCCTCATGGAGGAACTTCTGTCAGAAGATGGAAAGTACTTCGGAGGCCAGCAGATTGCGCAAAAAACTATCTATGAGTCCCAGCAATATTAGCTATCTCATCAAGGAGGATGGTGATTGGACAACTAGCAGCGAAGAAACTCTAGAGCTTCTTGTACAGACACACTTTCCGGGTTGCCTTCACAGTAGAGTCACAAATACCCGAATCATAGGCAACCATGATGACATTGCAGCGAATATCATAACCGAGGAGAACATAAAGCGTGCTATTAGCAGCTTCCAACCGTTTAAATCTCCGGGACCAGACGGCATTATTCCCGCTGACCTACAGCATACAGCAGGAATGATTGCACCCATACTCGTACCAGTCTTTGAAGCAGTGTTACGACTTAATTATATACCCCACAAATGGGAGGAGGTAAGAGTAGATTTCATTCCCAAGGCAGGGAAAACAACACAGACGAGACCAAAAGACTTCAGACCAATTAGTCTGTCGTCTTTCCTGTTGAAATCTCTAGAGAGACTAATAGATGGGCACATTAGAGACAAGGTGGGCAGCAAACTTTCGGCAGCCCAACATGCCTACAACAAAGGGAGATCAGTCGAAACAGCACTCCATTCTTTAGTGCACACAATCGAAAGATCACTTTATTACATAGAATACACCCTCGCGGCCTTCCTGGACATCGAGGGTGCTTTCAACAATGTATCTCCTGCAGCGATTATCTCATCTCTGATAAATCTGGGAGTAAGCAATTCACTAACCTCATTTATTGAACGAATGTTAATCGGCCGAGAAATAAGCGCAGGTGAATCAGTAATAAAAACGTTCCCAGTCAGGGCTACACCCCAGGGGGGAGTAATATCACCGCTCCTGT